TCAATTTTTCATAATAATTAATAATAACTCTTATAATATTTCTCTTCATCAATTAATTTATTTTAACAAAATAAAATAACAGTGATATTGTCGAAATCAAAAAAAGTCACTAAACTAGGCATTAACCAATGATAGCTCGGGTGCGATAAAATCAAATGGGATGGATTCACGTCGTCAATTTGAGCGTGAAGCCTCTTTAAAGGTAAAAGTCGTGACTCGTGATCGACGAACTCGGCTGGGCAAACGATCGGTCTTAACGACTCGTCTCATCGGGAATTTTCAGCGGGGTTAATAAATGGCCTCGGGATACGTGTGGCGAGCCACGAGTGCGAACAAGCCACGATGGTTTCGTGGCTTCCGACGGGAAACGCGACGCGAATCGTCGATTGAAAATTGTGCAATTTCGATTCGTTTCGATTGGTGAATGTCCATTCGACTTTGTTCTTTCGTGTTCCTTAATCTCGTCGCCAACTGAAAAATGAAAGATTTCTTTTATTCGCTTTTGCATTTTTGTAATTTTACTTTGAATATTTTTCCCATGAGATATTGATATAAGATATGCAGAATATAAGCATAGTTTTATACTTATCTCATTGTCAATTAAGATACTATATTTTTTTTTTATTTTTTAAGATATGCTGCTCTAATATTGGAAGTTCAAAGTAGTTATTTATGATGTGTGATAAATATGTAATAAATGATTTTTTAAACAATTGGCTTTTCATAAAAAATAACTGTCACTTTAATTGTAATTCATATATTCTGATCTCTTTATTTTTTCGAGACACTGTGTAGATTAACAAATTAATATTAAAAAACTTATATGAATTTTATCGAGATCTAGATCTTATGAATAATCCAATTTATTCATAAGATTTAATTCGATGGACATAATAATGGCAGCATGAGCAAAAAAGATTAAAACTTCAGATTTATAAGTTGGAAAAGTTTCCTCGTGCCAAATTAAGATACTTTCTATTTTATATTAACGAAATCGTTTCATAGAAATGTGAAAAAAAAACTGTTATTCTAGATCTAATATTTTCAAGTATTATATAACAAAAAAAAAAGTGAATGATATCACAGATACATAATAAAATTTAATTTATTTCACTTCTTCTCTTTCTTGTTCAACAGCAAAAAATCTGCCCGATATCGTAACAAACCTTTATGACGTATAACGTAACGATATGAAATTATTACCACTGATAATTTATCATTATCCCATTAACACATTCTTATCATAACAGATAATTATATCGAAGGTGGCAATAAACTATCTGATACCACCAAATAAGTTCAACTCTTAATAATTGCATACCTTTTGGAACGCCCATCAATCATACCAATTACCTCGACGCGCGACCACATCTAAGAGTAACACGATTTTAAAAACGCTAGGAGAAATCCAAACTACTACCGTTTTCACAATTACTCATAGAACCGTTATTGTCCTGTAAACGGAGGGATTTAACGATATCCATTGGCGATAGATATCCGTCGAAAGAAAGAAAAACTCGCTCTCCTTGCCCCGACGTGGCCAATTACTCTAGATTCTTTACTTTCGCGAGAAGCCTCGTGCCCCCGAGCCATGCGCAGCGCGTGCGCGTACGCAAGCGCGCGATCGTGGCATAATTTCGAATCGAGCCGGCCTGTTAACGAGGAATTCGAATTCATATCCGTGACACCTGCGTCGATCCACGATTTTTTTTTTTTTTTTCTCTTTCTCCTTCAGAAGATCAATGAGTTGATGAGGTACCAATGAGAAATTGAATCGGGTGTTTTCGAAATCGTTCGTCGATTTGTGATTTAAAAATGAAATCGATAAGATGAAAGTTTACGGAGTATAGGTTATGTCGTTCGATGATGAGAATCGATCTATGGGTTGAAAGATAATAATTGATTGTGCCAAGTATCGAGAGTGAAGAGTAATGGAACGAGAATATTAGTTGTTCTGGGTGGATTAAGTTCGGTTTTCAATGGAACAGCATCGCCTCGCATAATGGGTGCAGCTGTAACGATATAGGCACGTGACGATGGGATAAAAAAGAAGATTAGAGGAGACATTAGAGGAGGGTGTTGTACGTTTAATGGCGACGAATTTATTTCCCTTCGTCAACCCTCTCGAGGGGTGGTTTTCAATCGAAATGATTAATTTTCTTGCTCAAGCCTGTTTAAACATCCCTTGATGCGTATTTAAATTCTTGACGCGATTTGCATAAGAGGAGAGGGTAGAGAATACGAGATTCTTTTCGATCTAGGGAATTTTAAAAGAGATATATTATAATAAAAAAATCGAACGAATATTTTAATTAATAATTAATTTTTACAACAAATATATATAATTTTTCTCATAAATATTGCTCTCTCCTTACCTTTTTATTTTCATTAATCGCCGCCAATCGATTTCCCAACATGTATACTTACGAGCAGGAAACAATAATAACTCACTCGCTCCTCGAGGCTTCAATTGCATCCTTCCGATCGGCACACACGTTACCACGCTGTATGCAAAACGCGTCATAGATCAATCCTATACCCTATTGTCTGTTAATAAAACTATTGTCCGCTGTCAGAACTGAGTCATCGTTGACCTGGTTCACAAGAGAGCCGCGCCAAAGCGTAATGCAACCGGCTCGATCCCTCGAAAGACGAATTCTTCCTCCTCCAGTTCCAGGTCGCCTCGGCCTATTTTTCCTGGACGACATCTCGAGGAAGCTTCATCGTCGACATCCCTGTTTCCACTTGTTTCTCATCCTCCTTCGCCCGTCTCCTTCTCCTCCTCTTCCTCCTTTTCCTCTTTCTCCTTCCTGGTCCAGGAGGCTGAAACGATTCCAACGATAGTCACGTCTAATCGCGGTTACTAGGCTCGAGTGTGCCGCAAGGTCGCTACGATCTGGCCCGATCCCACGGCCTTGAATATCGTTGCTTGTAACGAGAGTAATAAGGCACCGAAACCCGCTTCCGCAACAGCGTGCGGAAAAAGAGGAGCGAAAAAAGAACGATGGTAATTGAAATGATTATTCATGTTGATTTAGAAACGAGGTATACGATCATTGCATGGATGCAAAATTTTCTCGAACGTTTTGAGCTTTCTTGCGTGTATAGGGGAGGAGCAACAGGAAAGATGCAAGAAGAAATCGAGGGTTCTCTCGTATTCTCTGATTTGGGAATTGAGATTTTGTTGGAATTGGATGTTTTGGAATTTTTTACCTTGTGAAAAAGGTAACTTTGTAAATTTTAACACGTAGTCTTATTATATGGTTTTAGAAAAGTAAATATGGAATAAGTATTTGTTGTTAATTTATTGGAGAGTGATGGATGAATTTTGCATAACAATTATTGTTTTCGAGTTTAGAATCGATTGTTTAAAATCGTTTAGAAATATATTGTAGATATGTAAATATAATATATGATATAAATATATGTATGTAGAAGAATTGGCCCTTAAAATAGTATACAGATCATTCATAATATCGTATGATTTTATCTGTAAGTGGATATAAGATTTTTCGATCGATAGATCCATATTTATGTTCTTATGTATCTTTATATTGACCTTATTAAAACTCAAAGATTAGACAAGTAATTTCTATTATTAGAAAAACAATTTCTTAGCTACACATGATATATATATATTAAAATAATAAAGAAATTTTTTATCTTTTCAATATTTTTGCAATATTTTTTTCAATTTTGCTGAAATCAAATTTCACATAATGTCATGGATGTGTGATAGCTGGCAAATTTGTTGATCACAAGTGAAATTCCTTCTATACTTCGTTTTCATTTTGCCAATATTTATTCGAAAGAAGTTGCTACGTGTCTGCTGTTACAGCGACCCTCCTGGAAAAAAATGAGCGATTAAGTCGGTTATTCTCCCTTGCTAAGTGTACTTTATCTTTAAAATATCTAGATGGAATTATTAATTGTCTTATTAATGATTAATGAACGTCCATCAATATCATTTTCCATTTGAAAGTAAACCATCAAAAGCATTACCTGTTTCTTCTATTAGAGAGAAGAATCGGAAGATATTCGTATTTAATTAAAATAAATATAAATAAATAAAATAAATTATAGTGATGACGATTATTTTATATAAACTCTGAATAAAATTGATAAAGGTAAAGAATTTGTAGAAAAGAAGAGTTGAAGATCTATATGGATTTTCGTATCGTTATCTTCTTCATCGAGCCGTGAATAGCTTGAAAGATATTTGTCTGTGCTCCCTCTGTGAGAAAGTGCCCCGAGCTTTGTGCACGTTTAAGCTGACCTACTCCCACGGTCCAGATTCCAGGTTAATATTTTGCAGCGAGATTAATAAGCGTTCGATCATATGCATACATACAAGTGAATAATTCGACTTGTTTCCAGGAGTAATAATTTTATTACCTTTCGTGATGATAATAGCGATTCTGCTATTATGAAAAATATTTAAAAGAATAATTATTTTTAATTAAATTATTCAAGTCAGTCAAGTGTTATTAAATTTATATATTGTAATATATGAAATATGTGATACAAATATTTTTCACAGCTCCTATTTTTAAATAGGATACGTGTACATTACTTTGATTGAAAAGTCATAATTGAATTTGATTAAATTTTACATATCTTTATTTTATATTGCATTGGAAACTATATTTAGTTTAATATCTCGCCAACAATGATAAGAAATAATTTCAATTTTCTTTTTAATGTATCCATTGTGAGCTTTTATAACGTGCTCTTATTATTTTTAATTATTTTATAAATTAAAAAAATTAAAATACTTAATTATGGTTATTTTATAATTCGTTAAATAAATTCATATACTGAACAAGAATATAAATGGATATAAAACTATCTTTTTTTTTAAACGTTTTTTTTACTTGTATAATCATATATATTATATATAATATATATATATCAAATAAAATATCTTTTACAAAATTATTTTGTAATACTAATTATAGTGATATCGATAATATATATCATTCTGAATAACATCTATCATATCATCGTATAAATATTTTATATAAATTTTTTTGTTTTTACGTCGATCTTAATACTGTATAATACGAAACAGATAGTTTTATTACCTGAAAATACCAATATTTTTTTCAATGATTTTATAATTATTCGAGAAAGTATTATTAATTCTAAATATATATACTTCTGAGAAACTTTGCATATTCAATTCTATTAAACCACCAGCGGTTAAACGAGGTGGAGTTAGACTTCTTCGCAATGCTAATATGTATAAAGCTTGTATTTTTGGATTGATATTGTACCATGACGCTTCGTATCTGTAAATCATTTATAAAATAAATTGGAAAATAAAATAAATTTTTATGGAATATTTTTATACCATAAGAAGAAAAAAATATCATTGTTAGAAAAGATTTCCTTTGTCAGTAGATTAAGAAAATTTAATTCTAAAATTTCTATCTTTAAATTTTATTGTTAAATTACTTACATTGAACAGTAAATCTCATTGCACGAATCTATCACGAATTGTCCTTGAATCATCACATAACACAAGTGCATCAATTGAACGATCAAAAAGCTGGAATATTTATAAAAATCCAAACAATAGTCCATCGTAACGACCTATAATTTCGAATAATCAAGAGTAATTTCGAATAATCATCGATCATGTTCAACGTTATGAATAAAACAAAATTCAATTAAATTTACCTTTAGTAACGTGATACTAAAACACATGATTATCAGACCCAAAGATATAAAAAGTAAATTAACATGTGTATCCTCGATTTTCTTTAAATACCTATTTCAAATTTATAATGATCGAAGAAAACTTTTACTTGATATATTAATACTTCAATTTGGCATTTAATTCATTAATAAATATAGAATACACAATTACAAAAATATTTGTACATTATACAAGAAAATTCTGGAAAAAATTCTGATTTCATTAAAAGTTTGTACACACGTTGAAGCGATATTTTGAAATCACTCTCTTTAAAATCAATTCTCAAAAATTTTAACATATTTTCAATTTTGGAAACAATTTCAATGGATATTTTTCAAAGCAGGCTGATAGAGCATTTTAAAAAATTAAACATTTCATAATTTAAAATTTTGTTTTATCTCATATCAAGTTTAAATAAATTCATTACATAGTTCTGTTAAAAATAACAAAATTTGTAAAAAAAACTAAAAAAAGATTAAATTCCTACTCCATAATGCAGAGTACAAATATTTCTGTAACTGACAGCACGTAAAAGTAAAATAGAGATAGAAATAGAAATGGAAATAGAACCTTATAGCTCGTTCGTGCCCTTGAATAGAGGAACGTATTCTTTTACACGTCTCTCTTATCTTTTCCTCGGAATTCTTCGAAGCAGAATCGTCGATCGCGTGTTTGAACCGATATCTGAAGAACGTCCATCTTCGTTGAATGAAATTTTGAACATTTTTTCAAGGGAAAGTAATATCAATTTATTTACCCAGCCACGGCCAATAATCCGCAAACATGTTGCACGAATACCATGTAACAAGTATCATAGGCGACGTACACGATAACCACCATGATTATCGAAAGGCTCATGTGCAGTTGGATGAGGTAATAATAGTCGCGGTCATCATCGACAAAATAGTAACCTGGTATGACATGTAACATAGGCGGGGACGTGTTTTGTGATTTTATCATGTACGACAAACGAGCTGTCCATGGCACTTGTAAGAATAAAAGTGAGCAACAGTATGCGTTTACTGGAAGTAAATTTTCAATATGTGAATGTAACAGATAATCCATCATTCCAAGGAAGCAAGAGAGAATGATTCATAAATTGGAAAAGTGTTAATATTGTTTTTTAAATATACAGTTGAAGAAGAATAGGGAATGGATTGAAAGAAAAGAGGATATTGAATGAAAATAAATTGAATTGGAAATTAACTTTTTAACTGATTTATAATTTATTCTTTTGTTGCTTTCAAAATAGTTTTTTAAATATTTTAAGGAAAGAAGAGAGAAAAATTTATCACAGTAAAATGATTCTAAAGTGCTGATTGTCTAAGTTTATTTTTTTATATATATAACCAATTGTCTCAATTCTGAATAATCAGAGGATATAATGAAATAAAATATTTGTATATATTTTTAAGAGACTATTTGTTGTTGAGTTGTTATATAAATGCTATTGTAAGTTCCTATATGTATGTTATGCATCACTATGCATCATAGTAAAATTCTTAAATTTTCAACGATATGCATTTATGAGAATTGCAAATATATATTGTTAATTCCATTGTATACAAATTACATTGAATTATAAAATAAAATAATTAATTGAATTAATTGTTCGTAATTTATTCTTTTCTTTCAATTCTATGAGGCCATTTTCATACGATTACCTGTTTCTTATATTTAATCATTTGACTAAAATTATGATAAAATTTTGGAAATATAAATCGACTCACTAAGATAGAACGTTGCAAGAAAAGATCCTCTTTGGGCATATGTTGACATAATCTCAAGTTCTTCTTTTGGCCGATCCATCATCCAATCCATGTACATATCGTTGAACAGAGACTTAACCTGCAATTTATTCAAATTTATTTTAAATTAAAATAATAACTTTAATTACTAAGTGTCTTTTCACCTTCGTTGCATTCAAAATATAGTTAGCCTCTTTTAATAGCAACAGAAATATCGCAGTTGCAATACCTGATTGCTCTACTATCACGTTTACAGTAGATATATGTACAATCCTTGCTACCTAAAATCAAAATTGAATTAAATTGAAATTTTATTAAAAATTTTATAGCAGATTCACTAAGGAGACAAAAGAGATTCAAATATTTGTGATTGATGGAATGTAGAATATTTTATTTAAATGAATTATGATCTAAAAAATGATTTTTATTATAAAAATTATATATTCTTTTAGCTATCAAATTATACAAATTTTTTGATATATGAAAAAACGTACATCAAATAATTTCCTTTTATTTTGTCATTTATCTTTTTTCTATTTTCTAGTTGATAATCACTCATAGCAGAATCTAAAATATAAATTCAAATATTTCCACTTCTTAATAATTAATATTGCATTAAATTTTCTATTTTTATTAAAAATGTGAAAGTGCTTTTGGCAAAATTAATATTAATTTTTATTTAAACAAAAATATAATTATATCCAATTATTTTCATAATGTATAATACCTTAACTTTAACTATGATATAATATTTTTAAATAAACATTACATTAATAATACAAATAGTAATAATATAAAAATATATAAATTATAAATTATATAATAATATAATTATATAATTTATAATTAATTAATATAATTATATAATAATTCTTTTATGAATTTTCATAGAATTTTCACAAGAAATACACACATAAAATATCAACGGTTATATAGTCACGTACCTGTACAACAACAGAAGGTATACTAATAATGTATATAATAATCCACGAAATGTATTTGAGATACTTATTTTGATCGGGCCAAATACCACTCAACTTCGCGAATCTTTTTGTGATCTTTAGAAATCGCTTCTCCAACATATCCGAATCCATGATGAAATCTAGACTGAGCCGACTGAAGCATAAGAAAGAAGCCGCTACTCTCATTAATCGTTTCGATGATTCTATAGACCAAGTCGGACCTCGAAGATAAATGCACGCTTTAACGTTTGTCAATAATTCATATCTTTCAATTGAAATGCATCTCTTTTGAAAATTGCTAAAATGCATTGTTACAACGCGTACGTTTCCATTTACAAAATTTAATCCTCAATAGAAGGAATAGGCAACCTCTTTTCAATTGCATTTACACGTAAATATATGTTGCGCCGATATAAATCGAGTAAATATAACGTTGCAAACGAAACTTACCACTCGTGGATCGATCATGGCATCCAGTTTTCAATATCAGTACAGAGAAATAATGCAATTCGCGTAATTACACTCCATTTGAAAATGTCAGAAAGAACAAATTGGCAAATTCTAAGAAAATATTTATCTTTTGATAAAGATGTTTATTTTCTCTATATCCAATTTCTTCTCAACAATGCTACTATGTTCGTGCTCGATTAAATTTTTATTTTTTTTTTTACATTTACACATTGTGGGATTACATTTAAATTGTTGTTTATTAAGTGTTTTTGTTGTTTATATAAATTTTGTTATATAAATAATAGTGAGATATAACTTAGATCTTGCAAGCAAAATTTGTAAGTATTAAGTTTTTTCTTTATTTCTGATAACAGGATGTGTTGTGTTGGATGATCACGAATTTGATATTTGATTTTTTAGAAATGGAATAGTTCAGTTTTACTGCAATAATAATTAAAAAAATTGCAATTTTTTAAAAAGAACAATCCTTTTTATGAAATGTACGTTCAAACATTGAGCTTCTTCCAATTTAACATTTTAATATGATATATGCATTTCTACATAGATTGAAAAATAAAATCTTGGTAATTTTTATATTGTGTGAAAAGTGAGCAATGTATGTGCTTCAATTAATATTTTTTTAAATTTTTATTTCGTATCGAACTTTATTCAAATACATGAAAATACAGAATATTAATATATTTATGAGACACCTTTATCTTAGAGTTTAAAATATTGAAATTAAAATTACTACACACAATATAATTGATGCTTATTTATTAAATAATAAAATTATAAATGATAAAAATATAATAAATTATATCTTCACTCTGAATAGGATATTAATATATTCGAAAGATATATTAAGAAAGATTGTTTTGATATCTAGGATTAATTTCAAAGATGTTCGACAAACATATTAACACCCATTGTATATAATATTCCAATCGCCATAATACGTACGTAATAATACATTATTATTACGTCGTTTGCATTACTGTATAATAGGAAACAGCTGCTTTGATTATCTGAAAATGGAAATTCTATTCGTACAAATATTTTTGTCACGTTTAAACAACAAATTTCTTATATACCTCTGCGAAAGATTGTAAATTCAATACGATCAGGCCACCGGCTGTTAACGTGGGAAAATTTAGGCAACTTCTCAATGATAACACGTATAACGATCGAATTCTAGGTGAAAAAGTGTACCATGGGGATTCGTATCTACAAAGGACATTAAAAGAAATAAAATACAATTGTATCATAAAACACTGTTTCTTATGATACAATTGTTTTAACAAAAATTTAATAATTTTCACTCACATGGATTCATAAACATCTTGTAATTCGTTTATCACGAATTGTCCTTGAACGGTGAGAATGAACGTGTGGAATAATTGAGCGAACAAAAATGTAGCTTGCACTAATTCTCTCGAACCATTTTTCCCATTTGCCACCTGAAAGCGATTTGTTAAATCATGCAGAATAATCGTATTAAAGAAAAAGTTTTGTTGCATATTGAAAAATTATTATACCTCTAATAACGACACGCTAATGGCCATTATCAGCAGTCCCATAGAAACGAATAAATACGTATGGTAACTATTTTCGATTAGCTTCAGGTATCTATGTTAAAGGTAAATTAGTCTGTGAAAAATTTCATAACGTTATATTTTCTCTTTTCATTGTAATAAATTATCAAAAAAAAAAAAAAA